CTTGGTGGTACACACCTGTAGTCCCAGCTACTCAGGAGGCTGAGCAGGAGGATCACTTGAGCCCAGGAGTTTGAGGTTACAGTGAGGTATAATGATGCCACTGTACTTCTAGCCTGGGTAACAGAGCAAGACCCTGTCTCAAAAAAAAAAAAAAAAAAAAGGTATTACCAGTTATATTGCTCAGCAAACCACAAAGAAAGTGCCATGGTTGTAGCAGCTGGCTTGACAGTCCACAGGGTAAGGCTTTAAAGACCCACCAGAAGACATGGTGGGTAACCATGGTGGGTAACCCTAATGTATATATATAGAGAGAGTGACACAGCTGCCTCTGCTGGGCTAAATTTGAGAAACTGACATATATCTTTTTGTTCCTTAGTGCATCAGACCATGGTTGATGCAACAGGGGACATGCCCAACCTGCAGACTTCACGTTTTGCTACCAGAAGAATTCCCTGCTCACCCCAACCGGCAGTTGCCCAAGATCTGACACAAGGGAGGTGACTATGCAAAGGAAGATCAGTTTTCAGACTCCAGAATTTAGATCTGCCTTTCATTATGAGCTGTTTGTGTGAGTGTTGTGAAGCTGTATGCTCTTTAGTATAGTGCTGAAGAACCTAGCTAACTTCATCAAAGCAGTAGCCAAAGAGGTCAGGATAGATCTTCAGGGCTTCTGAACTGAACCGCAGGGGCTTAAAGAAAATGGAATTTTAATAGTTATATTATATTTGCTCTTATCTTAGTGGGTTTTTTCTTCTAATGTAAACATGATAACTGTTAGTATATTTCTTAGGATGTCTTATCTTATCTTTTTTTTCTTCTTATTCCACTCATCTTTTACTCTCCCTTAAGATTTCCTGGAATACATTTATGAGGAAAGGGGGAATAGTAAAGAAGAGAAATAGGAAAATGACACAGATTTTAATATTCCTTTTAACTTTTAAAACTACCTACAAAAATATAATTGAAGTATTTAAATTTTATCTCCATTTTCCCCATTCTTTTCTGTCCTCTAAAATATGTACCCATGAAAAGATTATGAGCTACTTGAGGGTGGACTTCCTACAGTGGTGTGTTGGAGCTAACTTGTAATGGCTTGTGAGAGATGATTGTTAGTTTCAGGAATTTTGTGAGCCAGTTGTTAAACTGTCGGTAGCTTGAAATCTGCCACAGTAGAAGTTTTGACACCATAGCAGTTGGTAAATGCTGTAATAAAGACTTAGCTTCCCTTTAAGAGCTGATTGTTAAACATTTACCAGCACACCACTAGACCTTGTCTGATCTTTATGTTCCCAATATCTTGTACAGTAGGTGTAGAATAAATACTGCCAGAATCAGGCTGGGCACAGTGGCTCATACCTGTAATCGTAGCACTTTGGAGGGAGGTCACTAGAGACTAGGAGTTTGAGACCAGCCTGGGCAACATAGCAAGACCCCACCTCTGCAAAAAAATTTAAAAATTAGTCAGCTGTGGTGGTGCATATTTGTAGTCCTAGCTACTTGGGTGGCTGAGGCAAGAAGATTGCTTGAAACCATGAATTTGAGGTTGCAGTAAGCTCTGATGATGCCACTGTACTCTAGCCCAGGCAATAGAGAAAGACCCTGTCTCAAAACAAACAAAAAACCAAACTTCCCACAGTCAGAAATCAGGAAGTAGTAAGAAAAGGAATTAATATACAAATTAAGTCACTTGCTCAGTTGAATAATTGAAATCTTATGTTTATTTGTAAATATGTTCTTTGGACTTTAATCATTTG